GGAGATAGTCAGGATGAAAAACTCCCTGCCTTGCAGAGCTTTAGGGTGAATACCGCAAAACTGACTTCACAGGGTTTTCTCTTGCTTCGCAGCTGAGCAGGAAACCAATCAGCTCAGCTACAAAAGAGATTACTTGTGAAAATGCAGGAACTTGTTGCAAATGTCCCTTTAATGTGGTTGAAAATAATTCAGCCAGTTTTGCTATCACAGAGTATTTGTACTTCAATGAATTGAATGTGTATGGGATAAAGCCTGTTAAATGTTCATGTAGGGCAGATATGTCAAACTCACGACATCACATAACCTCGTGCGATGTATTGGAGCTTTCCCCCCATTGCCGGCAATGGGGTGGGCACGGTTTCCTCGTGATGCGTCCGGCCCGCGGGCTAGCAGTTTGACACCCCTGATGTAGTGTGATTAGAGGAATTTTGCAACAGAGGCTGAAATGCATTAGAAATCAATTGCAAAACAGTGAATATCACAAGCTGTGGCTGACCTTTTAATGTTACCCAGTACTGTTTCCATTTCTTCCGGGTTATTAGCTCAAGTTTTTTCTCTTTCTGTAGGGTCACAAGAGGTCTGAAGAAAAGCCATCCGGCTTTACGAATGACTCCTTGTTCCTTCTCATACAGCAGGTCCAAGTGCTCCAAGGAGCTGAGTGACTCACGGCTTGAGTCCTCGGTTTCCATAGAAGAGTCAGTGTTCTCAATGTTGGTTCTGCTCAGATCAAGCTCTCGCATGAAATTTTCATAAATATTTTGCCTTAAGATGTCACTGCTGATTGCATTAGCTGATTCACTTCTTTGGGGCAAAATCTGGCCAGAGCTCGGGGACCACAGAGAAGCAGAGAAATAGGAAGGAGCAAAAAGGTCCGTAGAAAGGCTTTCATATCCAGTATCAAAATACTCATTTGAATCTTTGCATCTTGGCTCCTGTAAAAGTACAAAAGAGGCACAATTAACTGGCACACAGTGATCAAGTAGCATTGCTTTGTTTCATGCCAGTGCATATGTATCTGCTACTAATAAGCTCATTCATAAAACTTTGTTGCAGTCGTTGGAATTATGGTGCCTTATGCATATTAAACACTGTAGTAAAGTTAATACATCAGAAAGAAGGGTGTTATTGTTCCAGGAATATCAGAGCTCACTGATTCAAATGGCTTTTAGGTGATCTCTTAATACAGTCATGAGGCCTGCTATGAGGCCTGCTGCCAAAAGTAGAATCAGACACCATCCTAAGGATTAGATGTTTATTTACTTTTCTTTGCACTGAGAAATAGTCAGATTTTATTTTGGATTATTTTGAATTAGGGTATTTTTATTGCTAATGTTATCACGAGTCTTGGATCAGCTTAAGAACATATTTACAGGTAAGATTATTGTATCTATACTGTTTCCCAGTTATCTAGAATCATAGAGGTGTAGGGACTTTGGAGTCTTCTAATCCAACTCCCTGCTCAAAGCAGGAGCCTTATACTATCCCAGCTGTCCAGTCTATTCTTGAAAACATCCAGTGATGGAGCATCCACAACCCCAGCTCTCACTGTCAAAACATTTCTCCTTGCTTCTAACCTGGATCTCCACCCTTTACTTCCAATCCTGCCCTCTGCTGCCCTAGAGAATAAGACAACCCCCTTTTTGGGGGACAGCCCCTCAACTACTAGAAGACAACTTTCATGTTCCCCCAATCCTTCTCTTTTGATAGACCTACCTAAATCCCTCAACTGCTTGTCATACAATTTAGCTTCCAGACTCTTATCATCTTTTTTGCTTTTCTCTGCACACTTTCCAGGATCTCAGTCTCTTTTTTTATATCACAAAACTGGATTCAGTATTCTAAGTGTGATCTCACCAGTGCGTAAAGCGGTAATATTCCAATTAATATTATATCACTCATAACTTACTCTTTCTGTGGAGTACACAAGACCACTTTTTATATGATTCCAAGGAGAGGGGGGTCTCTCCTCCAGGAACTAAATTAAATCATATTCATTTAGTTTTAATAGTAAGATAAAATACACCAACTTTCTTTTCTGTGCCAGTTTTACATATTATTACAAGGTCTATAGCCTGGGGCAACCCAAATTTCCAAGACCACAGATAGCTCCAAACCACTTTTTTTATATAGCTGACCACGTTTTCCTTGATCACGATTATCAAAAATCAGTGAGATAATATCTTGCCATTTTGATATAGGAAATACATGAAAACATGTAAATGCAGCCGTATTGCCAAGCACCTGAAGTTTGGTCACATAACCACAAAGGGGAGGGGTGACTATCAGAACTCTGAATCTGGATTGTATAGCTCCAAGATAGGTCTATTTTAATTTTGAAAGACAACTAAGTAAGCAATCATAAATTGAGAACTATCTGTAAGCCATACCTCTAACATCACTATTAAGCTTTTTCCTACTGGAACGTATCTATGCAGCCCTAATGATGCTGGAATTTATTCTCCTAGTCTTGTATTTTATGCTGCTTTGCTTTCTTTTCCCCTAAAGTTTCTGGAGAGTCTAGGACAGTGATGGCGAACCTTTTAGAGACCGAGTGCCCAAATTGTAACCCAAAATCCACTTATGTATCGTCAGGTGCTGGGTGGGCGTGGTCCATTGGGTGGGTATGGTCCATTGGGTGGGTGTGGCCCATTGGGTGGGCGTGGATGCAGTGGTAACGGCAGACTGGGTGGGAGTAAAATGTTCAATCAATTCCAACTTTGCGAGATCTTTTTTTTTTCCCCGCAAGAACTTGAAATTGATTGATTGAACCTTTTTTTTTTTTGCACACGACAGCGGAGGCCTAAAGCAAAAAGGTTTCATAAAACCCAGCTGAAGGCCTAGGATTGGGGCGATGGCACGCGTGCCCACAGAGAGGGCTCTGTGTGCCACCTGTGGCATGCGTGCCATAAGTTCGCCACCACGGGTCTAGGAACATATAAAGAAAAAGCAAACATATACAATACTTCCTGAAGCCCTGTGTAAAGCCTCAAACACTCCTGAGTTTAGTTCTGCGGCTCCATACATGCACCTCAGGCATCCATTTCAATACCAAAACGAACCCCCACAAATAAGCACAACTCCTTCCAAGTTTATTTCACCTCCCTTGCTTGCAGCACCTTCCTTCACAAACTCTTCTATTTTTTAAGATTAGCCATGATGGGAGACCAAAAGCACTCATGAGGGAAAGCAATGAACAGGGATTGGTTTGTGCAATTCTTCCATTACAACAGAGGTATCTAATGGTTTCTAGCCTCAGAACCTTTGAGGAACATGCCAGTCCAAATGAGCCAGGAAAAAAAAAGTGAGCAAGCCAACATGAAACATGTATTTAAATTGAATTTTAATTAAGCAAGTTACATACAGTTAATTTAATTCCTAGCTAGGCATTTTATAATTTTTTACTTTAAACATCCAAATCTTGAAGGGCCACATGTAATCCTGTTATCCCAGGAAATGCTGGATTCATTTTGCCTGGCGTACAAAGCCAATCAAACACGCAACATGAGAAAACTCTTTAATTGCTTGATTCTGTACAGAATAAAAAACAAATTGCTTTCTCTTTAATTCTGCACCCCGTTCCTACTATTCCATCAGTCCCATTATATCAATTTTAACATTCATGGATTGTGGTGTGAAAACATCGTATGACAGGGAGTAAAGCCAAGGAAATGGGTAATAACTGAGTAAATAATATATGGGATAATACAGAGGGCATCAAAAAAAGGCATGCCTTGAAGCAACAACTAAAAGCAGACAAAATGGTACAGCCAACACCAGTTGCATCAGAAAGCTGATTTAATAAGGAAGACAAGAATAGGACCAACACAAATGTGATTGGGCAATATCCTTTCTTTAGCTTTCCGAAGCTATTGCACCAAATCTTAAAGCTGGTCTATCTATAAAACATAGGCTGACCATTGGTTTTTTAATAGCCAACAATTCATAGCTACTATTTGCTTGCTAAGGGATACGCCTCACTTGCCAGAATGAAATTCTTGAACTGTCACTTTGGAAAGGTGCCTAATGTTATCATACTAGAAGACCGTGTATTAGTTTTAATATTATATAAACATTTTACCCAGGATTTCTAAGGCATGCTTCTTTCACAAATACTATTAGAAAACTGAGTTTGCTGCTTTAAGCAAGTACTATTTTCCATTAGAGCAAAATTATAGGTTACCCATTTACACTAACAATGATTACTTTTTTTAAACACACACACACACAAACACACACACACACATACATATAGAGGTATATATATATATATATATACCTCTAGAGCATTAACTATTTAGAATTGAATGCTTTACATGTGATTTTAATTTTTGCATGTGGTTTTAATTTTAAACTGGCAGACTTCATTTCCTGGATCTTGTGTCAGTTTATACAGAACTCCTTGCAAGGTTGCAGTTTAAAAGCAAATGATAATATAACCCAATTATTATTCTTAACTCCCATTGTGAAGATTTCCCTAAACAGATAGCTCTGGACTGAGATTTCAGTAGAGCTTGAGCAGAGCGTGCCTGCCTGACACTGCTATAGAAAAGCTTAAAATAACATATCTTTATTGACAAAACATTTAATAAGTGAAAAATACTTAATTCACTAAGTATATAAACATTTAACATTATACAGCTACATCAGAAGAATCTCACAGTCGTTTACCGTATATAAACAGCAGAAGATGAAAAATCATTTTTTAAAAAATGTTTGTTTAGTGCACATTCATGAACATACAACCATTTGCTGGGGCAAGAAATCTCTTACTTACCTATCTGCTGGCTTTGGACCTACAACTTCCTGCAAACTTCCCATAAGCAAAGTAAATGAGAGCCAGTTTGGTCTAGTGCAGACATGTCAAACTCGTGACGTCACATGATGTCACGCAATGTATCGGAACTGTTTTGCCATTGCCGGCAATGGGGTGGGCACGATTTCCGCGTGATGTGTCCGGTCCTCAAGCTGGCAGTTTGACACCCCTGGTCTAGTGGCTGAGGCACCAGGTTAGAAAGCAGGTAATCGCCTTAGCCATGAGACCAGGCTGGATGACCTTGCCACTTTGAGTTATTTGTAAAAATAATAAAGGTAGGATACAATTAAATAAATAAATGGGGAAGCTGGTAGGAATTCTGGGGAGGAGAAGAGAGGGGGAAAGGAAGAAAATGACAAAATGACAGGAAGGAGGAGAGAAGGAAAGAAGTGGGGAGGAGGGAAGAAGATTTCTGATGCTCCCTGCCAACTTCCCACAAGAAAACTCAATAAGGAAGCCAGCAGGGAAGTCGGAAATCACTCCCGTTGCTTTTTTTTTTTTTTGCAGTGGTCATTCCATGGTCATTCTGTTTCCCTGTTTATGTAAGGAAATAGCTCTGAAACAATGACCCAATAGAAAAGAGTTGTCTAGTTTGATTTCAGACTCTAAGTCAGGCATGCCAACCTCACGACGTCACATGACATCGCACAACATATCGGGCCGGTTTTGCCATTGCACACGTCTGGCCCGCAGGCCGGCAGTTTGACACCCCTGCTCTAAGTTAAGCATATACCCTACAATGAAGAAACTAGAATTCATACTTCAGGTTAACTTTTTAAACCTGAAATACCACATACCTGTAGCTTCCTTTTCTTCCTTGACAGGCTTCCTGTCCAGTCACTGATCCGACGCATTCGGCTTTTTAAAGTTTCCTTCTTAGCTGCATCCTCATTAAGGCTCGTAGATTTTCTACAAGGCAGAGTGAAGGAAGAGTATTGTGGAGATCCTCTGAGCTCCACCTTAGAAGGAACATCTATGGCAGAGGTAAATGAAACCCGGTTGCTTAAACTAGCATGTGTATTGATGTAATCTGCAGAAAATCCGATATTAGAGGCTTGCAAACTTCTTAGATTTGAATCCCCATATAAATCACGGAGGGAAGAAAGAGATGAACTTTGATTCAATGATTTTTTGCAGTCATTCTGGGAGAAATCAACATGGATTCTTGCATCTGGAATGCTTCTGGATATGTATGACACCTCTAGTTCATTTATACCTCCATTATTGCCCCATGGAGCGTCATACCATGACGACTCTGAACTAATGGAGCTTCCTTTACTGGATCTAAGTCTTGAATCAGTAGCTGACAGACGATGGCTTTCAGCACAGTCTGTACTAGAGGATTCCTTTCCTTCAAGCATGTTGTTCTTTTCAGATTCTGAAGTAGGAAAGTACCTTAACAGTTGGACTGGATTACCGGGTTCATCTCTAGAAATGCTACTATTACTGCTAATGTTCTGAAATTCAACTCTCAAGCACCCATCAAGCTTCCCTAATGTCTTGATGAGAACCTTTGGACTCATTCTGTCATCGGGTGATGAAATTTCTTTTTCTCCATAGCAATTTAAGAAATGTCCATTATATTCCTTGGAAGGAACGTAGTTGTTGGTAGTTTCAAAGCCAATGTAGTGAAAACCATTCTCGGGCAGAAATGCATTATTAGTCCCCTGACCATAGTTCCCTGATGTATGCGTCCTATGCTTTGCATGGCTATTACTCTTAGATACTTTTACTACTGTATCGCTGAGTCTTGAGGAATAAGGCTGATTACTCTTAAAATGAGAAAGGCAGCTTCTAGCAAATGATCGAGATCTGTAGCTTGCATTACTGGAACTGTGGTTCCATCCACGTATGGAGCAGGATTTTTCATCTTTAGAATGGATGCCACGAATTTTCAGAGAGCAGGGTTTCTGCTTGGTAGCAGGTGTAGATACAGTATGACTTTTGGTTCCCTGAAGACTGTATTGGCTTTCTGAATTTCCCATTTTTACTAAAAGGAAATACAAATAGTTTTGGTTATTAAAACAGTTACTCCCAAGAAGAATTTAATCCTTACTTGTGAACTCCTAAAAAGATCTACAAACAATGAAAGACCACTTCCTTGAATTGCTTCTAGTTGATACTATATGTTCACTAGGAAGAATATCTTAAAAGTAGCATAAAGTTGATATGGGGGTTATTCGTGGGTAATTTTTCAGAAAGGAACAAGCAATAGTAATATGTGAAAAGGGGTCCGCCTTCTCAAATTAAAATGCTGAAATGAAAAAATATTTGTGGAAAAAGTGGCTTTGATCAATACTGGAAGAAAATTCCTGAGTTGACCAAACCCTAAGGAAGTATCCTCACCCTCATAATTTAAGTGCATATTTGGCTCCCCTTGCTAAATTGTGGGATTTCTACTAAAGATCTTATGGACCTTTATTTTTGTTCACCTTGATCTTATTAAAATCAACTCAAAAAGACTCAGTCACTAACTCATTTTCTCTCTCATTCTAAAAGTTTATTGCTTTTATCCAGAATTCAATGGTATAAAAAGGCCTAGTACATGAATATATGTTTTATTTGTTAATAAACACTACCAGAGTCACCACAATTTAGAAGTATAACTAGCATGAGTAAGAAACTTTAGTAATAAAAATGTAGTTCTAAGGTTCAGTTCAGTTGTTTCTCTTTTTCAAATAAAAATATGTATTTCAGACATACCTGAAAAAAACCACTCAAATGTGGGTGGAATTAGCAGTTTGCATATTGGTCATTATTTTAATAAATGCCCTTCATATTTTCAACCATGAAATGAAATTCCATATGATTTCCTGTAAATAAATGAGAAAAGTCACATAAATGAAAATAAATTCATATTTTAATATGATTATCCATCTAACACAAAGGTAATTGTCAAGAACATGGAGTTAATATTTACTGTATATTCTACAGGTATTTTATTCATTCATTTGAATTTAAACTTTCATTTAAGTTTGTTATGGCCACCTATTGTAGCAGACATTGGGCACATTACAAAACCTAATTAAATGTTTAAAAAAGTTGAAAAAACTAAAAAGAAGATAGTCTAGACTAAAAACAGCAATCACAATAACAGTAAAACACAACAGAGCTCCCACAAAGACATTAACCCCTGAAAACCAAGCCAGGCACTATTTGTATCTTTAGGAAAATGTTAGGAGAGAAACTAAGAGATAAATCACACTTCTTTGGTCCTACAAGATGGTTAGCTACATTGAAAATGGATGTTCCCTCAGATAACCAAACATTATGCCATGAAGAGCTTTACAGGTAACAATCAGCACCTTCAATTGCTAGTTTTCAGAAGTCTACTGAAAACCAATGCAGTTCACATAGCAGCATTAATGGGCATAATGAAAAGTGCCCATTACTGTTTGCCTGTTGCATTTTGAATCAGCTGCAACTTTTGGATAGTCTTCAATTGCGAACCCATGTAGACCACATCACAGTCCAATCACAAGATAATGAAGATGTCCCTGACCAGGAGAGCCAAACAGCCATAGCCATTCAGTCTTGTCAAAGTCAAGCCAAAGTCTGTTCCTTCTCATCTGGTCCCCAGTAGTCTCCAGACACTGGGTCAGTATATCAACAGCTTTATCTGCACAGCATGGGGTTGAGACGTAAAGGTGGGCATCATAAATGTACTGATGCCAAGTCATGAAAAACGTGGATAATCTCACCTAGCACTTTCATGTAGATGTCAAACAGAACAGGACCTGTTTGAACCCCGAGACACTCCACAAGTAAAATAAGTGGCTTTGAGCTCTTCCTTCTCCTCACCACTGACTAGGACCAACCACTGAGGAAGAAGGCAAATCTTTGCATCACATTACATCCCACTCCAAACCAGTAGACAGGATACCACAGCCAATGGTATCAAAAGCCATTAAAAGATCAAGCTGGTGCATCGTTCCCATCCTGGCCGTCAAAGTACAACAAGTACAACTATTCCATTCTCTGTATTATACTCCAGTCTGAAGCCCAACTGAAACCGGCCCAGACAATCTGTTTCCTCCAAAATTCTCTATAGCTGCCATCTGACCACATTTCCCACAAAAAGACAAGTGGAAACTGGATGATAATTTCCAGAATGGAAGGTCCAATGACTTCTTGAAAAGGGGATCTACCATAGCCTCTTTCAAGGCCAACAGCAGCAGTACCTCCTTGGAAGAAGCTAAAACTGCCACAAGAACCCATTTGTTGGTTACCTTCCAGGCTGCCTTAACAACCAAGGATCTAACAGACAGATGGTGGAACTGACAGGCTGGAGGATCTTGTCCTCAGAGCTTCAGAGCCACAGAATCAAACTCAGTCCAGATGACCTTGCAAAAATGTTCCCCAAGTAACTCACTTGGGCCTGCTCAGTCAATTCTGAGTAAAGCTGAGTGATTACATGAAACACAGAGGAACTGTTCATTGTCTTTCCTAACAACTTGTAGACATATCCTCCAATTGTCTTTTTTTCTCATTATGACTATCAGTATCCAAACAACTGAAAGAGTAATCCCAGAAGATAGGTAGGGATGTGTGTGCAGTCATGTGACTTTTGGGGTGAAATAAAATGAACAAATGTAATGGCCACTTCCACCACTATTGCCCATTCATATGAGTCATGAAGGAATAAAGTATTTAGTCCCCTAAAAATCAAAGTTTGCCTTGCCATATTTATATTGCACACTTCACTCTGAATCTCAACCAGCCTCATGTCACTGAAAGCAAAACAGCAATAATTCAAACTTGTTCCAGGATTTCATGTACTTTAATTGATATTAAACAACATTATATAACTAGCTCCTTTGTTACAACTTGGATAATCCCCATGGATTTTTTGAAGTCATTGTTGATTCATGAGTCTAAGTTGCAGCTGTGACCCAGAGGTGAAAGGGCATAGGGTAATTCACTCATACCATCAGTTAGTCACTTCTCTATTTACATGAACTTGAACTTGAACTTGACTTGTCAGGAAAGCAATAGCTCAGACTGTATTAGGCACTGCATGCTTCAGAAGAAAGGCAGCTACTGGCAAGCTGAACAATCAATCTGTTGAGAGACAGCCTACCAATAGGTGCAGCTTGTAGTAGAAAGAAGAAATCCATTTCATATACCCCCTAGATTTCAAAAGGACCATATTTAATTTTTTGGAAGATTTCTTTATCAGGTATGTCAGTTGACCAACTTTTATGAAATTGAAAGTGCTGTAAAATATTTACCTCGTACCTGCTGTACAACTGAATGGGGACTGCATGCTCTCAAAACATTTAAACGAAGCACAAAATCAACCTATCAAAAAATCTATTAATCATTCAAATCTCAGTTACCCTGCAGATTAACAAAGTTCAAGTTCACTACAAACTTATCTTTAAAAATTGACAAAAAGACATAACTAGCAAGAAGGCACTTCACAAATGACAATGATTTTTATATTAAAACATGTCAATATCTATGCACAGAAATTCAAAGACATTTTTACTGCAAAATATACTTTATAACTTAAATCTTTTGCTTTGTTTCACAAGAATTATAACTTTTTTTCTTATAAGTATACAGTAAATTGCTCCATTGAAGTATCACTGATGTAAAATACACTTTTTAACATGCACAGCTCATGCTAAGGTGGAGGGGAAACAATATAAAGGATTTGAAGAAAAAAAGACACACATTTTGCAAGCTGTTTGGTGGTGAGTAAATGTAAATCACTAGGGTACTACTGAACAATGCAACAGAACCCAATTTTCAATCAGGGCATTTATATCCAGAATCTGGGTATCCAAAGCCATGAGGTACATTCACAAGGCTCCTTTCAGAAATCTATTTGTATTCATAAGAGGACTTGAAACCCAATTTGTCTAAAGAATCAATGAAAGGCCATCTGGTCCTCACTGTGGCGGTGCCCTCGCTGTGTAATCCTTTTTAACAGAGCGGGCAGCAAGCAAGCTGCCTGTTAGAGAGCTCGACAAAGTAGCAGTCAAATTTTAAGACTTGAGCCAGTGATACAACTTCCATTGTGCCCTCATACAATGAAGAAGGTTAATGAATACATCTATCAAAGGCAGGTATGCAAAGTGAGCTGACACAAGGCACAATGAACAGTTAAGATGACAACCACTGTGTGTGTGAAAAGTGCAGTCAGCGAGCAATTCTTTTCTGATCACAAAAGGCAACTTTCTAAGCAAATTTTGCAGCTTGCCAACTTTGAAGAGATCTCCAATATTCTTCACAGGAAACAGATTAAGTTTATAATGAGGTTGCATGTGCTTGAATAAGGAGCATCCAAATAGGAACCCAGGAAGCTGTCTCGGAGTGAGATGGATAACTAATCTATTTAGTTCACTAATCTGGACTGTTGGGATTTCAGAAAGCTTTTTTTTTTCCCAAAAAAACCTTCCCTGTCCCCCAGTCATTTAGCCCACATACTTCCCCCTCCCTCTCCCTAAGGAAGAGATTGGAATTACCCATTTGCATATATTTTATTTATTATTATCATTTTGTTATTCAGATATTTTTTTCCAGTAGGGCTGAAAATTAGCCACAGCTTAGTAAATAATTTTCAGATTAACCATCTTCTTTTAGCTGAGATGACAGCTTCATAAATTATGTTTGAAGCTGATTTCCTTAAAATCAGTCTATGGTTAACATTCATCATAGTTCTTCTTGGGTCAGACTTCAAGATAAACTTAATTGTGTAGTCTCAGGTGTTTTCTTTCAAGACGTTCATTTTGCCATCCAATAACAGAATTAAGGAAAATTAAAACAATATATTATAATATAATCCAAAACAATAATAGTAAAACCATCCTAAATTCATCATTATACCAAGGAATAATTTTCTCAATAACAAGCAATCTATCAAAGGATGGGAAACCCACCATTCCATCAATCACCAAAGGCTTTTCTGAAATAGCTAGATAATTTTGAAACTGGAGGAAGAAATATCAATAACTATGCTATGCTGATGACATAGCGGTTAAGAAAGCAAGCTAGAAAC